GAACACACTAGATCAACATTTATTTTATAGAATAATTTGTTTATACATCTTTGTTTATGTTGATTTTGATTATATTCCAAAACAGCTAAATCTTTCTTCCCTGCGTTTGTGTGTGTGTGTGTGCGTGTGTGTGTGTGTGTGTGTTTGTGAGTGTGTGTGTGTGTGCGCGTGTGCGTGCGTGCGTGTGTGTGTGTGTGTGTATATTACTACACGGTATATTCATATCATAAGTAATCAATAATTATCGAATATACATCGTGCACTAACTAAACTACTAAACTACTACTAAACTACTCGCTTTTTATGACATTGACATCTGTAATTTCTAATGTTTTTAATATATTGGACATATTAATGAAAAAGGGAAAGCAGACACACACACAAATTTGTTTATGTTTGTGCGGTTATATATATATATATATATATATATATATATATATATATATATATATATATATATATATACACGTATATATATACATGTATATACATATATATATATATATATATATATATATATATATATATATATATATATATATATATATATACATATATATAGATGCATATATATATACATACACACACACACACACACACACACACACACACACACACACATATATATATATATATATATATATATATATATATATATATATACATATCAATATAATTAAAAGGAACAAATATAGACAAGTTTATTTTTTATGTCCTAATGGTTTGAAAAGGGATTCTGTTCCATGTAAAGCGAGAGTGATGTCTCCGGTGCCTCTCTAAGGTGGTAGGAAATGTGAAGTGAAACACATTAAGTGGTGTGAAATATGTAGAATTAAGAATATAAGTGGTGGTGCTTCCACGTCACTAGTGTTAACTACTTCAGGAACAAGACCTAAGATCACTATTTTCTACATGAAATCTGATGACGTACAAGAGAAAAACGGCCAACTAACAATGAAATACGTGTTGCCCGCCTGTCTCATTTCCTCAACCTGCTCTACTGCGCTCATCTACTCGCTTATCCAGCCTTTCGAAACATCTCTCTGTGAAAGGAATTAGGAATTAGCGGTCAGCAAGACGCACGCGAGGATTGGGCCTAGTGAGTACAGTAAATGTACCGCGGAGGAAAATGTAATAAACCTATTCTTGATTACGAAACGCATAGTGACGAGGGTGTGTCTGTAGCAGTGGCTCTTTACCTGCATGATGTCGGTAATTTCCAAGTGAGCCGCGAGTCCATAGGAGAAGGCAGGAGTTTCGCTAATTATATCAGTTCTTCTATTAACGATAGTATTGTCAAATAATGAGAAGTACAATATTTGATGTTCAACAAAAAGACTAAGAGCATATATTTCCTTTCCTCTAAAATCTGGGAGGGAATCTTATTCATAGATGCAAGGGGCGCGTGGATGGAAGGACAAATTTCAAGAGGAGGCGTGGTGGTAAAATGGTTAAAGTGGGCCTAATTGAAATTCCTTGATGGCCAATTTTCATTTTCGCCACTATTTTCATGGCCAACGAAAGTATTTACCTGAAAACTGTCTGACACTATATACCTGCACATAAAGTTTATTTATCAGATAAATCTATTACCATTATGAGTGTTTCGATCATATATTATTTTCCTTCAAGACGATCATAATGCTAATAATTCTTGTCTCCGTCGGGCCACTAGTTTGACACTTCTGCTACTGGGGAAATATTAGAGACGAATTATGCGTAGTAGTATTAGCAGTTACAATAAGAATAGCAGTAGTCTCAGTCCTTATAATGGTAATGATAATGGCAGCAAGGAATGCGTAACCTATGGTCTATGACAGCGACTAACCACCGTCTCAAAAAAGAAAGCGAGGCCGGCCATAGTATGACCCAAAAAGAGCAGGATGAAGGCGCTCAGAAGGTGCTCCGTTCGGAGAACCACGTGGCTGTCTTCTGGCTGCTGAACAAAAAAGGAAAAGTTGATGATGTTGAATGTGGCACCAGAACATGATATATGAAGAACCTTTTTCACTTTATATACTGTCACTAAAACTACTTTCTCTTGATTTTAGGTGACTATTTGATAGTTGTTGAGTTTCTTTGAAAAGTGGTATAATTATACAAAGCCCATCGGACAGATGGGTTAGTGATGTAAAGCACTTTGGCTGCAAGCAGATAACTCACCCTTCGCTGTGCGACTTTTCCGGAGCCCGATGACCTGAGCACCTCCTCCATCCAGCGATCAATCAAACCGGCTTCCATTAGTCTCTGCGTCAGTCTGATCACGTCCTTCCTTAAGGGAATGCCTTTTCTGTGCAATGACAGTTTAAACTTAGTTTGTACCCGAAAGTTTTTGTTTTGTTTTTTCATGCAGAAATCACTCAAGAAGAAACGATGCTTATAGAACTAACCTGAATGCCCATGCAACTCCAGGAAAAGGATTGTATTCTGTGTTGCTGATACGGAGGCTGTCTGTGTATTCTATAGCAATATCGGCTAAAAGGCTGTACTTCGAGGATATGTATCCATGACTTCCTTTTAATGCAAGCGCAACATTCTCATCTGCTGTAAGAAACTGAAGGCAAGTTCTGAAGTTACTCTTTGCTCTACCACTTTACCTGATTTGCACAAAGTAATATTCGTACTGGTATTTGTTCGTATGTCAGTATCTTTGTATAGCAGAGTATAAAAGGCTTACCTGCATTCTCTTTTCCAGCTTTTCGATCACAGGGTTTGGCTTGGATTTCATGTAAGTTTCCGTCGCCCCTGCGTTAGAGTGCATGCCCCAGGACCACCCGCTGTGTGACAAGAGATCTTCGAAGGAATTTATCTCTGCCGTCTTTCCCTGGACGGTGAGGTGGGCCACGAGGGAAGAGCGGTAGGCCGTCGTCATGACTAGACAGTAGGTGAGCCACGTCAGTACCAAGATCTGTTCCAGGCAAAGAGTACATTTAACAGTGCATCTTAATTTCTACTTTCGTTTGTTGCCTGAATTAGGCTCCAAAACGTATCAAGTTACTATTGTATGTTTCTAACAATGTACCGTATTGTTCGTTACTTTGATATCAAAAAGTGGTCTCATATACTACAGCTCCCTTAAAATCAATTAATTTAATACTTTTGATATATTCAGGCACACTACACTCTTTTTGTTAAAACCGTTGCACTTTGGTTTGAAAGAAACACTCAGTGAAAATTGCTTCCGCGAACTTTCTTACGCGGCCGGAGGAGTTGGGCGGCGTCGCGGCGGGCGAGTCCTCCATCAGGGTGCCCCAGCTGTACAGGAGGGCGGAGCTCAGCCGTAGATCAGAGCCGCCGGTGCCATAAGCCCACGCCTTCTGGAGGAGCCACAGAGTCAGACTGGAGGCGACGATGCTGACGGAGAGCGTCGCCCAGACCGTTTCTGAGAAAGGAAAAGTGTGTAGGCTGTGTGTGTGTGTTTGCGCGCGCGCGCGTGTGTGCACACACACACACATAAACACACACACACACACACACACACAGACACATACACACACACACACACACACACACACACACACAAACACACAAACACACAACACACACACACACACATAAACACACACACACACACACATGTGTGTGTGTGCATATATATATATATATATATATATATATATATATATATATATATATATATATATACATATATATATATATATATATATATATATATATATATATATATATATGTATGCATATGTGTATATATGTATATATACATAATTATATATATATATATATATATAAATATATATATATATATATATATATATATATATATATATATATGTGTGTGTGTGTGTGTGTGTGTGTGTGTGTGTGTGTGTGTGTGTAGGTATATATATATATATATATATATATATATATATATATATATATATATACAAACATACATACATACATATATATATATATATATATATATATATATATATATATATATATATATATACATATATATATATTTATATATGTATATGTGTGTGTGTGTGTGTGTGTGTGTGTGTGTGTGTGTGTGTGTGTAAATATGTATACATATACATACATATATATGTAAACATATATATATATATATATATATATATATATATATATATATATATATATGTGTGTGTGTGTGTGTGTGTGTGTGTGTGTGTGTGTGTGTGTGTGTGTGTGTAAATATGTATACATATACATACATATATATGTAAACATATATATATATATATATATATATATATATATATATATATATATGTGTGTGTGTGTGTGTGTGTGTGTGTGTGTGTGTGTGTGTGTGTGTGTGCGTGTTTTCTTTTAGTTTATTTTTTATTATATTTTTATCCATGTAATTTTTCATTTACATACTGCAAGGGACAGGCCTACCAGAGAAAGGACTAATGAGTGACAGGTAGTTGGGAAGAGGGCGTGCCTTGGCCGAGATAATGATCAGCGGTTCCCCCATGTAAACTCTCGAGAAGTCGACCACACGCGACCTGGCAAAGGTAGACGTTAGGGCGAGGGAGAAGTCGGCCTCCTGGCGTTGGAGGGTCCGTATGATGCCTGTCCAACTGCCATTAGCCAAGGGCATTCCCCACTGGCCGTCCGAGGGCTCTTGGAGGGTATAGCTGTAGATGTTCAGGAACGTTGAAGAAATTCGAATTCGGAAGGCACAAAATCATGGCTTCGTACTGAATAATGAATTGTACTTTGAAAAAAGACTAAGAATTTCTATCAAGTAGTTATTGGAGAATGTCATAAATATAATCATACCAACAGTGCCTCAGAATAAATACAGAAATTAATAGTTATTCATAAAAAAATTACATTGCATTTAGCAGTATTTAGGTGAACTCATATACATACGTATAGTTGAAATGCTGAGCGACCTCTGTGAGTATACGATAGTCAAGTGAATCCAGAAGCTGCAGGCGAGGACTCTTTGTCTCCTTCTGCTGCATATACTTTATGTAAGGGGGATACTGGAGGGCCGCGGTCTTGAACTCACAGCCCAT